GATATCTCGTAAGGACACAGAGCACAGGTGGAAGTAGATTAGAGCTTTTTCCAAGATGTTTACTTAAGTAAGTTGAATTTCGAATCAAGCCCATCAAGATTCTGTTCAAGGAAAGCAAGAAGAAAGGACTAATCATTAGCTATAACGAGACAGACCGCATGGTTGCCGGCTACAGATTCAGCCCCAGTTGTGCGCTATGTAGTTGAGACGTCAGACATAAAAAAAAATGTCCTTCCAAACTTAGAAAAGAGTATTGAACTGCTTTGTAATATCTGATCTCATATATGGCGGTGAATTCTGGTGAAGCCTCTCACAGATGAGAAGAGACTTGAAGCATCAGCTATGTTTCAGGTACTATTTCTGGTGAGACTAAAACCAGCGGCAAGATTATTTTTCACATATAAATGACGTGTGAACAGAAATGAAAGGAAATTTAAACAGCGCCATATTTTGTGTCTATATTTTCTGAGATGAGGGATTGTAACTATTTACACTATTTACCCAAGGTCACCGAGGACATATAGCCCAGTGGATAAAAATGTTGGTTGATGTAATCCTAAAGTGACGTGATCCAAAGTTCAATACCTGGCCACAGCAGAGGTGAACAAAAAACAAACAAAACAATATACGGAGAGTTGAGTTACTGAAGGGAATTAACTGAAACTGAGATATCCACTAAAGGTGTGGCACGTGGATCTAGAACAATCTACTCTCGTGGACTAAATAAAGGGTTCGGTTCGATATTCCAACGTATATCACCTGAAGAAGGTCGGAACGTACAATAGCCGAAAGGTCGTAAATATGAAAATAAAGATTAGGACAACAACCCGAACAATGTAAAGTCACAAGTATTCTACACACAATCAACTTTTATTTCCTGACTTACAAGTGTTCATTGTAGCCAACACGTGCAGCACCTGCAGCACGGGCAACAATAAGAGGATTCCTCCAAGATGCTTATCAATATATCACGATCCACTGAGCTGATCGATGATGTTATTCGAGTCATTGCGTTTAGTGTGTAGCGGTGGAACATAAACGCGATCTTTTACGTATCCCCACAGGAAAAAATCACACACGGCCAAGCATAAAAAGCAAGGTCTTGGTAAGTGCCTGAACGAGGCGTAGTCTGTAAGGTTTCAGATGTAGACGTCTTCTTCTCACATGCCATATAGTGGATTGAGAGATTACAAGCTCACAGCTAGCTCGATTTGTGGACCCCCCCCCGTCAAACGCAGCACAGATTCTCCCTACTTGTTCCTCCGAAACTCGTGGTATTCCTGGACTTTTTCCTTTACACAGACACTGTTTAAACCACCGTCGAATGTTCTTAGGAGAGGGTGGATTAATGTTGAATTGCCATTCCGGGAATAAACAAATAGCGGAAAGATGCCGGAGATACGACGCGACTACAGCGCCCCTGCGGCAGCATTTCAAAACTTAGAAACCTCTTCTTTCAAATGGTTTCTCTTCATTCCATTACGATGCTTGAAAACTGAAGCAATGCGTCAGGAAATCGGTTCATTCTTTTTGAATAACCCTGTACAGAAATAACAAAGTCGATAAAATACACGAGTATGAATATAAATGAAGGAAGGCATTACAAGTTGGGAATTATGCGGATGATACACTTGTGTGTGTGTGTGTGTGTGTGTGTGTGTGTGTGTGTGTGTGTGTGTGTGTGTGTGTGCGCGAGAGAGAGAGAGAAAGTGTGTGTGTGTGTCTGTGTGTGTGTGGTGTGTGTGTGTGTGTGTGTGTGTGTGTGTGTGTGTGTGTGTGTGTGGTGTGTGTGTGTGTCTGTGTGAGTGTGTGTGTGTGTGTGTGTGTGTGTGTGTGTGTGTGGTGGTGTGTGTGTCTGTGTGTGGTGTGTGTGTGTGTGTGTGTGTGTGTGTGTGTGGTGGTGGTGTGTGTGTGGGGGTGTGTGTGTGTGTGTGTGTGTGGTGTGGTGGGTGGTGAGTGTGTGTGGGTTGAGTGTGTGTGTGTGTGAGTGAGTGTGTGTGTGGGGGGGTGAGTGTGTGTGTGTGTGAGTGTGAGTGAGTGAGTGTGTGTGGGTTGAGTGTGTGTGTGTGTGTGTGTGTGTGTGTGTGTGTGTGTGTGTGTGTGTGTGTGTGTGTGTGTGTGAGTGAGTGTGTGTGTGACTGTGTGTGCAAAATATATCCCCATACGTGGGGAGGTCCGGTGAGTGTTGTCCCTGCAGTATAACGAGAGGAAAAAAGAGATAGAAAGACAGGAAGTGTTCCTGTTTTTATGGATGCCAAAAAGCGCCCTCTAATGACTTCTTGGGCAAACTGGCAAAGTTATGTGGGAATAACCCATATATACGAGGGAGGGTTGGGCACCACGAGGTGGTGTAATGGTTAGCAAGCTTATCTAGCTAGAACAATTACGACTGAGTAGTGAGTTCGATCCTCACTGGGCGCCCCATACTTTCGACCTTGTGCCACATCTAAGCCTCGCTTGAAAAATCACTACATACGAGGGAGGGTTGAAAAGTTCATAGTACTATGAAGGAGTGGTGTTAGATATGTTCATTGTACAGAATATTCTCACCACTCTCACAGGATATGCTAATAGCATTGGCTGTATGATTTATAACCAGTCACCTGTCATCTATCACCAGGTGGTGAACACGATGAATGTTTTCCTGGGTGGTGGAAGTTGCAGGACGTCTAAACCTGGAGTCATCTTCAAAACTCTTCCTTCCACTGCTAAATTTAGCTGCCCACTTTTGCACTATTCATAAAGCTTGAGCTTTAATGTAGCAACCATGTCGTTGAGAGTTAAACCCTTTTTTGTTCAGTTACCGTATTTTCCGACTTACAAGACGCTGCGGCTTGGAAGACCTCCCCACTAATATTGGAATGAAATTTCTAAGAAAAAAAATTGTATTGTTTACATTAATCACTCGTCCGATTCTGGTTGTATGGCAATGGCATACTAGTCAAGAGCAGAAAGGCTCCCGCCGCTGCTAGTAAACAAAGCATGTTTAAGCTTGTGGCTCGGCTTCAGGAAGGTTTATAGTCTTGGAAATACTTGTAACAGCTAAGTAGTGAGGTTACATCATATAAAAGGCAGAATTAGATAGATAGCTAACATTATAGTGCAATGACTCAACATAGAAATCTTCGTTCCTGTCAGTGAAGGCAATTAGGTAACCGTTCAAGTTTACTTGAGCCTTGACGTTGCCTTACATTCGTCTTGGAAGACGCACACGTTTTTTTGTTTTTTTTTTCAGGGTATTTTTTTAGGAAAAAAGTGCGTCCTGTAATCCGGAAAATGCGATAACTGATAACACCACCATGTCTGATTTTGTCCATTTTCAAGAGCAATCGCTACTAGTTATTTTTGAAGTCTTCTTTGGACAATCCGATGTCAGTTTTCCTGGAAAGAAATAATGCAGTTATTAACAGGAAGAGTTGAAATTAATATATGCACAGTTTCACAGTTAAAGCATCGTTTCTTCAGAGTCAGCCTATGAACTTTTCAGCCCAACCTCTTATATGAATCTACCGATGACTACCATGAAGAGAATATGCGAGCAAGGTGATCTATAAATTAAAGAAATTGATACTAACATACAAAAAAAGATACAGCATGATGAAGAAAGAGGTCTTACTGAATTTAACACTCACGTGACACAGTGAGTGGAATAGAAGCAGCAAGTTTAACGGGATTCTGGGAATGGATGGCCGAACAGTGTGGTAGTCATGAATAAAAGTTACAACAAAAGACAGGAAGTTGTGGAGAGTCATGATAATGTACACTCTTGAAAGGAAATCACACATAAAAGTAGAAATATCAAGCCGCTCGCTGCCTGTTTTGGGAAGATCATCGGAAACACTATGTCTGCGGTTGGTAAAAAAAGAAAGTTTGGTCGAATAGTCTACCATGCAGAATTTCAAAAGTTTTATAAGGTCTTCTTCTTTCTAAGGGAGAATTAAAGTGATACGGCTAAGCGTTTGTGGGCTTTGCTGTCACAATGAATATTTCAATGCATCAAAGATTGTTTTCAAGTTGAAGGTAATATAAAGGAAAAAGAGAGGAAAGAAAAGAAAATTGCTTTTACCTTTCACAAAGAGAACTGAGTCATGACAACCACTGGACCGAGGACACTGACGGATATAAACGCTTTGCATTCGCAACCGGCACACGACTTTGTTTCACGCACGCTTTTCTCTTTCTCTCTCTCTCTCTCTCTCTCTCTCTCTCTCTCTCTCTCTGTATCTATATATATATATATATATATATATATATATATATATATATATATATATATATATATATATTGTGTGTGTTTTATAGGTGTGTAAGTGTTTGTGTGTCTGTATTCGTACGCGCGCGTATATGTGTTTGTAATTTTTTTTTTTTTCTTGGTTTCTTCCAATTCAGTTTTGGTTTTCCGTCTAATTTTTCATTTTATCTTGTTTTTTTTTTTTTTTTTTTTTGTTTGTTTTTTTTATCTGTTTCTTTTTCACATATTCTTTCTGTATTATCGTTTTATTTTCTTCATTCTCTTCTTTTTTTTGATTTTATCTTGACTTTCTTTCAATTTTTTTCTCTCTCCGTTAACACCTTTCTTTTTTTTCTTTCTTTCTTTCTTTCTTTCTTTCTTCGATTTTCATTCTTTTTCTTATCACGTTTTCTTTTAATCCTTTCTTTCTTTCTTTCTTTCTTTCTTTCTTTCTTTGTGTTAGCGTTTCTCTCTTCATCAACACCTTTCTTTTTTTTTTCTCACTCATTTTTCTGACTTTTTCTTTTCTTTTCTCTTGGTTTTCTTTCTTTCTAATTTAAAAAATTTATTAACATTCTCTCTTCATTAACATCTTTAATTCTTTCGTCGGAATTTTTTTCTTTTTGCCTATCTCTTATTTTCTCTTGCTGGCTTTCTTTCTTTCTAATTGTTTTTTTTTCTCTCTTCTTCAACATCCTTCTGTGCTTTCATTACTTTTCTAATTACGTTTTAGTTTATTTTCTCTAGGTTTTCTGTCTTTATTTAATTGATGGTTCTCTTTTTGTCAACACCTTTTTCTTCCGTCTTTTTTTTTTTCCTTTTCTTTGCGCCTATTTTCTCTTTTTGGCTTTGTTTCTTTCTTTCTAATGTTTTTCTCTTTTTATCAACACCTTTCTTATTTTTTCGTTGGTTTTCCTCCTTTTCATTGTTTACTCTTTTGCTTTTCTTTCGTCTTCTTTGTTTCCTTTCTTTCCGAAAATTAAATTTTCTTTCTTTGAAATTCTTCCTTTCACACATGTTATTCTTTTTCTTTCCCGATTTTAGCCTTTTTGTGAAACTCATCCTAATTGTCGTGTTTTCTGATTTTACCTCCCCCCTTCTTCTCTTCATCATTCTGATCTACGCTGTAATATTTTATTATGCAAATCAATATTTTCATAATAAATTTGTTATTAAGAAACCAATATTGGGAAACTTTTCAGGGTATATTTCTACTTATATACGCAATATAAATTGTGAGTTTTAACTCATAATACCTCTTATTAATTAATAATAACAAACTGGTATCAGGTGTTTATTATACAAACAAGAAAAGGGCAAAATATTTTTTTTTATTTACTAAATCCAAAAATATAAGCTACATATTTGATTAACGCAATATCCTAAAAACTTTACTGTATGGAAGAAAAGAGGCTTGGAAAATGTTATACTCACTAGATATATCGAAGACAAAAGGAAAAAGTAGAAACAGAAGGAAGCCTATTGGACAAGTTTATTTGAATAATTAGCAGAATGGGGAGTGGTAATGATGGTAAAAACACACATTACTAAGAGGTCCAAAGGATAAAATGTTCTTGTGTGACATGGACTAAAGGGACACGGTACAAAGAAGAGGAAGATCTTGACATCCTTATCAACTTTGAAGGGATTTATAATTTTAGTTTCTCTAATACTAGAATAAAGTTAGGGGTTACGGTTAACGAAGTTAGTCTTGTTGACAATTATGTTGATTCGTTTTTTTACGGCTTATCAACCGTTTGCAGTTTATTTGAAACCAGAAAATATTTTTACATTGTAAGATATTTGGTTGTGGGGTATAATGGTTTAGAAAAACAAGTCTTACTCATTAATCCATAGATGGGGAGATAAGGTGGATTTATACCTTTCCCAAGGGTATTTGCGTGTAAGTGAATATAAAGAATTCAATGGGAATTGAAACTAGGCTCTACGATTAACGATTCTGCGCCATTATTCATTAAACCACCCACACATCCAAACTTACAGCACTTAAGCGGTCACTCCTCTAGTTACTAACCAAGCTCGACGTTGCTTAACTTCGGTGATCGTACGAGAACCGATATTTCAACATGATGTGCCGGTAAGCAGTTGTTGACTATTAGTAAAGATTAGTGATCTCGACCCTCTTTAAGTCCTCCACACAAAATTTTATATTAAGCGACCCGAATAGATTTCACATAGTAAAATCAACCAATCAATAAAAAAAGAAAAAACAATGTCAAAGGTATAATGTATTTTTTTCTCTCTGTTTGCATTCGAATCAGTAATTCTTTCGATATTTTCTCACGGATCAATGATCTTTTCTTTCATGTTATCCTTTTAGTTTTTCTCAGATCGATTTTTAAGGGATAAAAAAAAATCTTACACTGATGGATATATTGAAAGTAAGAAGAAAAAAAGAATACAGCAAGTAACCTACCTACCGAACTTGTGTAAATAGACGACAGCAGAGGCAGATCGAAGGATAGTAAAAAACACAAATGTTGCTAAAAGCTATAAAGAATGGAATGTTCTGGAGATTCTAAAAGGAACAGGACACCTAGAAGAAGAAGAATTTCTTTTTATTTTTCTGTGATTTCCCTTAAAACTTTATGCAATATCTTTATCTTGTTTTTGTGATTTTTATATATATATATATATATATATATATATATATATATATATATATATATGTGTGTGTGTGTGTGTGTGTGTGTGTGTGTGTGTGTGTGTGTGTGTGTGAAAATATATAGAAAATAGGAAAGAACTCGTTAGGTAAATAATCCAAAGTTCTTTAGTATTTTTGTTATTATTTTAAAAAATAGCGCTCGATACAAAAGTAGAGCATAAATATAATTATTTATTTAAAGATATGATTCAACACATACATAAGAGGTCTCATGTTTGAAAACTTCAATATAATTATTAGAATTAATTGAATTAAAGTAATTTTTCTGTCCCATCTTCAAGCGAAATTTTTGGGGGAATTCGCTTGAAGATGGAACAGAGCTTACTTTTAATTTAATTTAATTCAATTGATTATATTGAAGTTTTGGCTCTTGATTTGAAACATGGAACCTCCTATGTAGCGTGTTGAATCATATTTAAATAAATAATTATATATATATATATAATTATGACCCGCGCAATTATTATTATCTGAATATATATATATATATATATATATATATATATATATATATATATATATATATATATATAACTATATTGTCATATCTAATTATTTACAACTCAATTGTATAATAAAATCTCATGCCATCACATAAATAAATATTTCTAATAAAAAAAGAGATATTATCAATTAAAACTCATGGGGCACATTTATAATATAAATATTTTTTTAATCATTTCCCACCAAGCAAGGCCCAAGGGGTCACTGAGACAATGAGAAAAAGGAAGGACTATAAAAGAACAGGCTCCTAGGAGACAAGATGCTGACTCGCGTAGCATTTACAATTTTAAAGATCGTAAGAAATCAAGAAGCCGTAAGAGAGTTCCACAAACGAGATGTGCGCGAGAAGGAACTATTGACATAGAACTTACGGTTTAACAATTTCAACCGTAAAATTAGCAGAGCTAGCTGCCAGACTAGTACTGCGTTTAAATTCGTGAATCCGTGCTACCAAAGAGAAAATCTCATTAGAAAAGTTAACGGGAAATATGTTTTTTAAAATGTCATAGGAAAGTTATATAATATATCCTGAACATTTTACTACGGTCATGTAGTTGATACCAACTTTCAATAAATAAAATCTAAGGTAGAATATTTACTCAATTTGAAGATAGACAGATATATAAAAAGATAACATGAAGGGAAATTAAGAGAAGAGTGGGGGAAAGAAACAGAATGTTAACGTAATGGTTGTCGATACGAAAAAAACGGAATCGGCGAACGGAGTTCGAATTTCGGCTTAGGAGGGTCGGCGGAATGTTTTATAGGCTGACCAAAATACTTTCATGGGATTAGACCAAATGAGGTTTATTTTTCAACATTGCCCCCGCCCCCTTGTGGTCTACACACTTCTTCCATTGGATCACATTGGTGAAGAAGTTTTCATCCTGTTGGTAAAAAAGTCTACAACAGCTGCTATGACATCATTTTCACTGCGATACTTGTTCCCAGCCAAGTGTTTTATTTTCATACTGGGAAACAGATAATAGTCAGATATGATCAAATCAAAAGAATAGGGAGGGTGATCAACAACTTCAAAGCCACAGTGACGCAGAACATCCTATGAAACCAAGAACTGGAGTATTTTCCTGATGAAATAAAACCCAATTCTTTAGTTTTCGTAGCCGTTTGGTCTTTGTAGCCTTTCGTAACCACCTTAGCAAGTTGGCATCGTACTCTCTATTGATGACGTGGCTTTTTTTCGAGATAGTCTATAGAGACAATGCTTTTTGAATTCTCCAAAAAACTGAGGCCAACACCTTCCTTGCAGATTCAACAACCTTGGTTTCCTTTGGAGCTGGTGAGGATAGGTGTTTCAACTGCATGGATTGTCTCTTTTTCTCTTGTTCAAAATGATAAACTCAGCATTCAGCCAGAGTTAGGAAACCTTCAAGGAAACCAGCTGGATTTGCTTCTAACAATGTGAACGATTGCTGCGATGTGTTCATGCTGGTGCGCTTTTGATCATGTGTCAGAAGACGTGGTACCGACCGAGCAGGAATCTTCGTTGTGTAGAATATTCTCAACTCTCTCACGCATTATTCGATTTATAGTCAATCATCTGTCATCCATCAGCAGGTGGAGAAAATGGGCACTGTTTTTCTCGGTGCTGTCAGTTGCAGAACCTCCAGACCTTAGGTCATCTTTAAGACTATTTCTATCCCACATAGATTCAGCATCCAACATTTGCTCGGTTGATAAAGTCAAAGCGTTATCCCCTTTCAAGCACTTTTTCTTCGAAATGTACTTGATAATGCCAGGATTCCAAATTTAGTCCATCTTCAAGATAAGTCGCTACTAGTTATATTTGTTTATAGATCATTGATGAAATTATGTGTGGAAGAGATGAAAAATTATCTACCAAAGAAGATGTGGAAATTACTGGATTTTACATGTTTTTCAATTTTGGAGTTTTAACTTTTTGGAAATGTAAATCTAGCCAATCTCCTGAAAACGTATTTTCCACTTTATCATTCAACTAGCAGCATGGCCCGGCGTTGCCCGTGCTTGATTAAAAAATCGTAAGATTCATACAGCAATCGCTATCACTTGATTTAAAATATTTTGCCCTTCCTTGCCTTTAAAGGAGTGCCCTTTGCCGTGCTGATGTTGCTACATGAATTACTTAATTTTTTCTAAGCTCTATACTAAACATTAAATCTGTTACGAAAAAAGAACTAAACAAAATGAACACAAAACGATCAGCTTTAAAAAAGGACTCGTAACTGGAAAAACCGAATGAAAAAAAAATGTTATCAACAAATACTTTTTCACACCCAACCCAGTTCTGCGGAATCAGAATCAACGTTGAGTTTAAGCAAGCGAATGAGCCAATTGGAGTAAAGTGCCATGCAGATTTAAATTTTTCCCACTTGTGACGAATGTAGCTATCGATTTTTTTGCATGCTAGTTAACATTCGTGTCAGTCAGCTGTTGGCTCTCACGCTGGCCAATAGAATCTTCCTGCCTATTCGTGGCAGCCAGCTATAAGCTCTCACTCTGGCCAGTAGACAAAGGCCGCAAACTACATGAAAACCGAGATAGAAGCATGAAAAAATCGATTACTTCCACTATCGATGGGAGTTGGGAAATGCAAATTCCGTCTTGATCTTCCCGCTAACTTGGAGCATGTGCATGTAAATTTTGGTGCAAATCCGTCGCAAATTTGGGCCGTGCATTCGTTACACACACACACACACACACACACATCATGCCTTTTATAGTTAGAGATTACCTAAAATTATTTTGATATATAAACATTTACATATCATTCTCCCTGATATATATATATATATATATATATGCGTGTTTGTGTGCGTACACGTGTTTTTGTGTTTGTGTGTGTGTGTCTCTCTCTCTCTCTCTCGTGTGTGTGCGTGTGTGTCTCTCTCTCGTGTGTGTGTGTGTGTGTGTGTAAGAAAAATTGTGTTGCGTCC